TCTAGAGTTACTTCCTTAAGTACTCTGGGATGTAGATTATCAGGCTCTGGGAATTTATTGGCCTTCAATCCCAAATATTTTTCCAACACCATTTCTTTACTAATATTGATCTTCCTCAGTTCTTCCCTCTCACTAAATCTTGCATCCTCCAGCAATTCAGATATCTGATTTGTGTCCTCTTTTGTGAAGACAAAACCAAAGTATGTATTCAGTTCCTCAGCCGTATCTTTGTCCCCTATTGTACATTCTCCCATTTCTGTCTGTAGGGGACCTACAATTATCTTTACCAATCTCTTTCTCTTCACATACCTATAGAAACTCTTTGCATCAATCTTTATCTTCCCTGCAAGCTTACTTTTGTACTCTATTTCCCCCTTCTTAATCAATCCCTTGGTCCTTTTTGCTGAATTCTAATCTCCCAATCCTCAGATTTATTATTTGTCTTGGCCAATCTAAATGCTTCTTCCTTGAATCGGATACTGTCTCTTATTTCCTTTGTAAACCATGGTTTGGCCCTCTTACCCATTTTGCTTTTGTGATAGACAGAAATAAACAGCTGTTGCAGTTTCCCCATGCATTCCTTGAATGTTTGCCATTGTATATCCACTGTCATCCCTTTAAGTTACTCTTCTCAATCTCTCACGACCAACTCACACCTTATATCCTTGTAGTTTCCTTTATTAAAGTTCAGCACCCTAGTCTCCAAATCAACAACCTCACTCTCCGTCTTGATAAAAAAAATTCTATCATTATTATGGTTGGTCGGTCTTGCACAGCTAGATTGACAGTGATTCCCTTCTCATTACACAGCACCCAGTCTAAGATGGCTTGCTCTCTAGTTGGTTTCTCCACATATTGGTCAAGAAAACCATCCCGTATACACTCCAGGAATCCCTCCTCTATAGCATTGTGGCTAATTTGATTTGCCCAATCTATCTGCAAATTAAAATCACCCATGATCGCTGATATTCCCAAATCACATGTATCTCCAATTTCCTATTTGATGCCATTCTTGACATCACCACAGCAGTTTAAGTGTTTATATATGACACCTACTAATGTTTTTTGCCCCTTGGTATTTCTCAACTCTACCCATACAGAGGCCACACTGTCACAGCTAATATCCTTTCTCACTATTGTGTTAATTTCCTCTTTAACCAGCAATGCCGCTCCGCCACCTTTTCCTTTTTGCCTGTCCTTCCTAAATACTGAATACTTTGGGATATTCAGTTCCCATCCCTGGTCACCCTGCAGCCATGTCTCCGTAATCCCAATTATATCAGATCCATTTACATCTATCTATGCGATTAGTTCATCCACTTTATTGCAGATGCTCCGCACATTAAGGCATAAAGCCTTTAAGCTTGTCCTTTTAACAGTGTTTGTCTCCTCCTTATTTTTCTCAATAGCTCTGTTTGAATTTGTCCTTGGTTTCTCAGCCTATCACTTTTCTTTTTACGTTTTCTAACTTTGGGTCGAGTGATCCTTCCTCAGGACCCTAGTTTTCCTCCCCTTATTTATTCTTTGATGCTTCAACAGTTTCCAGTTTCTAAGGAGAAATGTTTTGCATAAAATGCATGGTTCTTAAACTGTCCTTCCCCATGACCATTAGTAGCTGATGAAGAAATCATATTAACATTGGAAGATATTTATTTTTAAAAATATGCATTGGTGTCCCCATCCATACACTGATGTATATCAGTGTTGTGAATATTGTTCGTTAAAAAGTGAATATTGCAAACATTAAAACAGTTACTTAATTTGCTAAAAAAAAGGACCAATTAATAGGTACGACCAGCACTTTGAATTTTTGGTGCATAACAAACATTCTTACTACCACCTAGTGTTTGCAGTAAGCCAGTAAATCAGCCAGAACTGAAAGCAACTTAATTCATTGAGTTTTTTTTTATTTCTGGAGTAGATTAAAACTTTTTAATATCACTGATATATTTAAATACGGCAAAAGATACTCCACTACCTTCCTTTTTTTTAAGAATTAATACAGTATTATTAGTGCATATATTCCTGGAATTTCCTCTGGATTTGCATAAAGGTACAACTGTAAGTGGATGCACATTAAATATGTGGGTTAATAGATTGCAAAATATTTACTGAGATTTGCCTGGGTAACTACAATATGGTCAAGTCTCCAAGGTGTTTTAAGTCAACCCATGAAAGTCTCCATCTAAATAAATCTCACCCTCAAAACTGGCCATGCCCCCAAGTCTGAAAAAAATGACTCCAACTTCTATGCATATTAGCACATTATACATGGATTCCAATACACAGAAGGAAACTAAATATATAAAAGGGATCACTTTTTGTTCTGGTCTTTTTAATTCACTTTCATGATCTAAATATAAGATTAAAAACTAAAATACTTTGTCAGTCTGCAGAAGTTAAACCTGCTGTGCCCAGTGTGTGTAAATGATGGTGAAGACTTGAAATTTAAATTCCAAGACTCAAAGAAAATGTACACTTCTGTATTTTCAGGCTTTCTTATGGCCCCTCATGTTTTTGTTGATTTACACCCAATTTAAGTTTGGGTGTCCTGAAAATAATTGAAATGTATGACATGTAATTGGCCATGGCAGAATGAAGGCCATATTGAGTATATTTTCATTTCTAACTCCCAGGCTGCTTTAGAGGAGAAAACTTCAATTTTTTTTATGATAATAACTAATGTATTTTTACAAAGAAAGACATATAGCATCCAAATTCAGTAAATTATAACATGTTAGAGTGGTGCCATTTGTCAAAAACATTAGATGTTCGGGCAGCCAGTAGATGAAAACCAAGACACAAAATTACAGTTGGAAAATATAAAGCAGAGAGACACCTTAAATATCTGGACTAGCCATCAGGAGTTTAAATGATGTCAATGCAGCAGGCTCAGAGTTTACAAGATTCCTGATTTATGAAAGTAATGCAGCACCTAACTATGGTTCAATACGAAGGAAAGCTGGATTAGCTGCAACTTGTGAAGAAAATGGGCCACTTAAGAACATACCTTAGAAGGATGTATTGAATGTACAAAAAATTGTGGGTATTGTCATCAAAAATGATTTAAAGGGGATGAAATTGGAATTGCCAGTAGTGCAAGATGAGACTGGACAAAATTTAACTTTAACTTAGGAAAGTAGGAAGTGAGATTCACTGTGAGGAAGTTTTATTTTTCACACAGGCATATGAAAAGGCATTCTAAAAGTGATCATGAGGATTATGTCTTACAGCCTTCAAACTATGGAAAACTACAAAACCACCAAAAGGGAAATGTAAGATATTAGGGTGTAGTTAATTGTTAGGTTGAGGCCTCCTAGAGCATGAACCTTGAGGGTTGGGGAGAATTTCTGACTGTAATTCCTAAATTGATGACGTGCTTCTGTCTCTCACAGAAATTCATTTGCTTGATACTCTGTTTTTATTTGTATGGACAGTCTGAAGTGATAGTGTAGATTTTTGCTATTCCAATACTTACTTTCTGTCTCTAAATAATATTCGAAAGATGACTGTTCTTTTGATACTACAGATGGCATAATGTCCATGCTGACTTTACTTCAAGTAACGTGATTCCAAATAAAACAAGCCCAATCAATTCTAGAGACAAGCAACCATAACAAGACCCATCATATTAATGAATGCAATTCATCAAACAAAATATTTTTTCCTAAAAAAATCTATTATTCCGTACTTAAGCATAATGGCCTGGGAAAGAATGAGGTATTTGTGAAACTGGGAAAATAACCGTTACGCCAAAAGAGAAATACATAAAGTGAAAATATTACATTTCCATCTTGTGAATACTGACTATTGTTGAAAAACAACATTTTGTTAAAGCTTTCATCTTGTACTCATCAGGACAATCCACAAGACATGGCAATGTAAAAATAGAAATAAACATACTGTATGAGAAGACAGAGTTGACTGGTTGGCAAGTTTACTTGATTGGTAAAGATTTACATCAGAAGGACACCATTTCAGTATTAAAATTGGCTACCATCCAAAATAAGTAGACACTCCAGATATCTAACTCTTAATAATACCCTAATCACCAGTGTTTATGAGGCATTAAGGCTGTTGATTCTATTTGCAGGCTGATGGTGCCAGGTTTGGGTAATGAAAATTGACCCTGGCTGATCTGGTGTTTTAAAACTGAACTGTTTGGATGGTCAGGCACAAGGACATGTAAATTCAGTGAGAACATTTTCTAAGTCCAAGAGTGTAAAACAAATGCAGAGCAATCTGTTCTGCACATCTGTCAAAAAACTGAAGATTCATTCTAGATTGAGGAGTTTCATTGTTAGGCGCCAGTAGAGACACAACAGTGTGAATCAACTGCCAAAATTAACTCACTCCACTTAGAGGATTGATGCCACTGAAACTCAGCAGATATCTATGGTACGATCCAAATCACACTTAAAGAAAGTCATAAATCTTACCAAATATATTAAAATTTGCATTACAGGATGTTTATCCATATTAAGGCACAATTTCAGGTGTTTTCTAGTTTGGATAAAATGCTATACATTGTCAGAATATAACAGGCTTATTCAGTTTAAGAAAACTAAAATTTGGCACATATGACACTGCTTTCAAGTAATGCGAATCCAACACCCACTTGACACATGCAAGTGTCCAGTTCTAATTTTCTGATTTCCAATGTGATTTTATATGTTATAGAAATAATCACACATAGATGCCAAGTGAAAGATTATATTTAATGCCAAGAATTAGATTAGCTACTTACATTGAGTTCTGTCCTTTAACTCAATAAAGAGTGGTTGAACAATAAATTTATTAAATATTAGTATTCTACATTTTATATAATGTTAAATTAGAAATACTCAATAAATCTGTATTTTCACTAATAACTTATTGCTTTATTTTTGTATTTTTGATATGTAGTGACACATACAAGACAGTTACTAAAAAGTAACAATAATAAAATGGTAGTGTTAATTGGCAAATTTTGACTACAATGCAAATAAATCTGTTTTAAGTTATTCTTCAGAAAAGTGCACAGACATCCCAGGAGCATATGTATAGCAGAACTGTAACAGCTGTTGATGGAATTGTGCCAAATATATATCTCTCTGATTTAAGCTATGCTCATCACACAGCTCAAAAGGAAACACTGCATTGGGAGCCACACATAACACTGAGGTACCTACAGAAATTAATAAAAATTAGTTCAATTTATGGTTATCCACTACATCCTGTATAAGCTAACAGTTCACAACGGGCCTTCTAAACATTAAATGCATTCTGGACAAAAAAAACCAAAAGAACTGTGGATGGTGGAAATCTGAAACAAAAACACAAATTGCTGGAAAATGTCAGCAGGTCTGGCAGCATCTGTGGAGAGGAATCAGAGTTAACGTTTTGGGCTCAGTGACTCTTCTTCAGAACATTCTGGATGGCACAATGGCTCTGTAGTTAGCACTGCTGCCTCACAGTGCAACGGACCAGGGTTCAATTCAACCCTTGGGTGACTTTCTGTGTTGAGTTTGCACATTCTTCCCATGTCTGCTGGGGTTTCCATCCACAGTCCAAAGATATGCAGGTTACATGGATTGGCAATGCTAAATTGCCCATAGTGTGCAGTGATGTGCAGGCGAGGTGGATCAACCATGGGAAATTCAGGGTTACAGGGATAGGGTAGGGGGCTGAGTCTGGGTGGGATGCTTTTCAGAGGGTTGGTGTGGGCTCAATGGGCCGAATGGCCTTCTTCGACACTGTAGGGATTCTATGCTGCCAGACCTGCTGGCATTTTCCTGCAGTTTCTGTTTTTGTTGAAAATGCATTCTTTGTTTGCAATCACAATCTAGAATTTACACTTTTGCTTTAAGACATGCAACTATCATTACCATGCCTTGCAGTGATGGAAATTTCATATAGCAAAATTGCAATGACAGCATCCTGTTCCAGTACTTTGTTTCTCAGGCTGAGTTTGGCGTGTGTTTCAGACAATGACATTCTGTGAATTAGAAAAATATTCAGAAGTCTAAAACATAAATGCTTTAACTGTTGGTCTAATGAAAAAGGATAAGCTGTGAAACTCTACATGCTTCCCTGCAATTCAATTGCAATAACAAATCATGTTTCACATTATATATAGCTTTGAACTATATATAATTTGAAAACATTTTATACTTACTTTTAAAAGAGAAGACAATTATCTAATCAAATGATTTCTAGGAGAGTTAAACTGTAAGACAAAACCTTAAATATTTAACTTACTATCAAATTACACATTTACAGTTTTTATTTTGCACCTATGCAGAACATAGATGTAATATATAACTATTATAGTACGATGTAGATGCAGAAGGGATGTTTCCCCTGGCTGTGGGGTTAAGGACCAGGGGACATAGTTTCAGAATAAAAGGCAAGCCATTTCAGACTGATTTGTGGAGGAACTTCTTCATTCACTTCAATCACTGAAATTCTTTACCCCAGAGAGTAGTGGAAGCTCAATCATTAAGTAAATTCAAGGCAGGTATTGATAGATTTCTAGTTACTAATTACACGATGGGATATGGGAATAGTACAGGAATATGACATTGAGGAAGATGATCAGCCATGATCTAGAGGATGGAGCAGGCCCAAGAGACTGAAAGGCCTGATCTCCAATATTCCTATAACAAATACAACTTAAAATTTGAGTAGATTATTAAAATCATTTGCTGCCGGTAGTTGTTGAGAATGAATGTGTGCATGTAAGGAACCAGATTTTCATCCTGGAGGCTGGTAAAGAGACTCTGGAAAATTTTCAATGTGCCCACTTCAGGAGATATTGGCTTCAGAGGAGCAATTTCCATCACCCCCATGTGGGTGCTAGATCATAGCATCCCTACAGTGTGGGAACAGGCCCTTTGAGCCAACAAGCCCACACCAACCCTCAGAGCATCCCACCCAGACCCATCCCCCTACAATCCACCTAATCTACACATCCCTGACACATTCTGGCAATTTAGTATGGCCAATCCACCTAGCCTGCACATTTTTGGACTGCGGGAAGAAACTGGACACCTGAAGGAAACCCATGCAGACACAGGGAGAATGTGCAAACTCCACACAGACAGTCACCTCAGGGTGGAATCAAACCTGGGTTCCTGGTGCTGTGAGGTAGCAGTGCTAACCACTGAGCCACCATGTCATCCCTAGTTGAACTCTTGCCAACCAACTCTGGAGAAAGTTCACACACAGCCACTGAGGCTGCCAAATGCCAAGGTGGGTTGTTTAAAAGGCTAACCCAGTATTGATGGACTTAGTTCCATCTGTTTTTTTAAAAAAGGCCCTACAGCCCTGACATTCCACACACCTCCACTGCTCCATCCTTGCTATCTCATGCTACCCATGTCAAGGTATACACCTTTACAGTGTCATTCATTCAGATCTCCTTGGTCTCTTCAAGATCTCTTGTTGCTGACTGAATAAGAAAGACAGTGTTTCACCAGAGCTGCATGTACCTTGCTTTCCTCAACTCTCTATTTAGATTTCCTTATGATTTGGTAGCCTGTCTGTGTTTCCCCTGTTTCAGTTACAGTATTACTTGGTTCTGTCTTCCAAAATCCACATAAATATCAGCGAGTCTATAAAGGAGCAAGTTTCCAGGTTCCTCTGCGTCTGTAAATCCATTCAAGATGGTGGCAGTGGAGTAGGCAGCGTTCAGGTCTTCAGCCTGGGGCTCGTCAATCCGTCCACTTTTCCGCCCTTTTCGTCCTCTCTTTTTTCTAAGATGGTTAGGAGTTACCTTGGAGAAGCTGAGAGCCAGAGCGAAGCAGGCTGGAGGCTTGGAGGGGCTGAGAGCTGGAATGTAACAGTTGGAGACCTGTAGCAGTGCGGAGTGGCTGAGAACTTGAGCAAAGTGGGCTGGAGGCCTGGAGCGGTGCGGAGTGGCTGAGAACTTGAGCAAAGTGGGCTGGAGGCCTGGAGCGGTGCGGAGTGGCTAAGGGCTAGAGCAAAGTGGGCTGGAGGCCTGGAGCGGTGCGGAGTGGCTAAGGGCTGGAGCAAAGTG